CACACACACACACACACACACACACACACACACACATCACACCACACCACACCACACACACACACACACACACACACACACACAGCTCTCCGAGGTTTTTCGGACCTTTGGCGGATAGGGTCGGTGCTTTCTTGCTGGTGGAGTCCTCTGTCGTAGGTAAGTTGCTTTTGGCCCTCCACCCCTTTATGGATCAAATAAATATATATCTGCAAGTGTGCCACTTGGGCGGCAGACGGGTGTGTGGGCACTTGGCGCTGAACCACACAACCGTTACCAACCTTGCTTTTTTTTTTTTTTTTTTTTAAGCAGGTCCTTACGGTCCTGGCTCCATATCCATTCTGGGGAGCGTCAGTCCGGTTCCTATTCCCCCGGCAAGTCATAAAAACAGTTTACATCAATGAACGTACCCACACTCCCTTCCGTCTGGCCGAAGGGTCCCTGACCAGCATTGATTACTCCATTGAGATGGAGGATTGACTGTCAGCTTGCCTTTCTCTGAGTTTCCTCTCAGATCCTTCAATTAGAATCTGTCAGGTAGATGATAAAGCTAGAAACCCAAAGAATCACTGTCTGGGCTGGGCTCAAAGGAACTTATGTTGCCCTGAAGTCCTGTTGCTCTTCCTGGTCGGGAGTTGTCCTCCTCTGGGGGATCGACGAATTGTGCCAGTCTTTCCATCTGATTTGTAGAGCCTGGATCTCAGCTATCTTCCCATGGACAAGCCATACTTTGTTAAAGTTGGAAGTCAACTCTTGCTGTTTCTCTGGATTTTGCTGAGCTTGGAGTCTGACCTTCTTCCATTGACACCGGATATCGGTCTCCATGAACAGTTTCGTAGTCGCCCATACTTGTTCAGTCGGACCGGTAGTCTTGTCAATTGTCCTGTTGCACCTCTCCTTCCAGATGACCCACAGTGTTACCTTCCTGATAATTCCGAACCAGATGCGTTCCGATTTGAGGGCAAGAGATGGGGTGTTAGTCCATAGGAGAAGCTGGATTGGGTGTTCGGGTAGGGGAGAGGGAAACAAGTGGCCCCAAAGCGCTGAGGCTCTTGCCCACAGGTCAGTAGCGAGTGTATAAGTGATCAGACAGTTTACTATATCTTCCTGTTCGTTGTCTGAGCATACCAGACATTTGTCTGAACTGCTCAGATCGCTGTTCTTTCTTCGCACATGTAGCCAGGCATTCACTGGGAGGGCATTGTAGGTGATCAGCAATTGGAGACTTCTTATTTTTACTGGGCGAATTGATTTGTACTTCCGCCAGGGGAGTTCCGCAATTGGTTCCATTCTTTGTCCGAGCAATTTGGTCCACAGCTGGGCACCAGGCGCCCGGAGCCGCACCCACCTGCACCCACCTGACCCACAGGGTGATGGATCGGATTTAGGTCTACATGAGCTGTCTTGGGTGGGTTATGGGCGGGCACAGCCAGCATGCCTTTCTGGGTGACGGGCGGATGAAGATTTGACCTGGGTCACCCGCTGGGTGGGTGGCAAGCGGGTGATGTCTTGGCTTGGGTCACCTGACCCATAGACCAGGGATGACCCGAAAATTATGCAACCCCCCTCCCCCCCCTCCCCCCCCCCCTTGTGTAGTACGTCGCGCTTGAGGTTGAGAACCAAAGAAAAAAGTGCCTGGATTCAGTTGCCCAGGTCCTGATAAAGTAACGCGGAGTGCTCCAGCAGTGCAGGTGCCCCTGGACAAAAAAAAAAATATTGAGATATTTTCCTTAGAGACGTTCGAGTCTCATTGTTGATGTCGCTGTTGTTTTAATAATATGATTTCAGATGTCTTTGTTGCAATGCTATGTTGCCGATGAAATTGCGATGGTGTAAGGGACTGGCATGGGCAGGTGCGGGCTGATGCGGGTGGTGCGGGTGAAGAAAATTTAGGTATTGGACGCGGGCGGGTGATGATACTCTTACGGGTGCGGGCGGGTGTGGGTGAGGGCTTTTTCGGGTCACGGGCGGATCGGGCATGGGGCTGAAATTTCAAAAAATATTTTGGGTGGGTGGGATCATCTAAAAGTAAAAAATAAAATTCTTGGGCCGGGTGGATGGGGAAAAAAAAAAATTGGGCGGGTTGGGTCGAGGGTGAGGAAAAAAAAAATTTGCCCACCTCTGATTTGGTCCATCGTTCTATGATTACTGGCTCGGGGTCTTTGGTTCTTAGAAACTTTTTGTATCCCATCTTAACTGTGTACTGTGTTATCTGAGTGGGATTCTTACAGAATCTCTTAGCTTATGAGATCCAAGCCCATTCTTGTTGGTCAAATTCAAGGTCTTGGATTGCTGTGTCCGTGTGGAATATACTTTTCGGCCAGTTCCCCAGTACTCTCACCTTTCTCAGCGTGTAGGAGTTCAGAGTTACTTCTTCTGGGTCGGTGTTGTGAATGGCGAGCGATTTGGGGTTGGATCGATCTATGGGAAAGGAGATAAGGACTCCGGCGCGAGCTTGGCCAGGAGATCTGCGATAGAATTGATACGTGTCGCATATCGTAACGGTGCAGACCAGAACAAGAACCGACCTCTCTCACATAGTACAAGATAGCACAGCGGAAGGCTTAAATACCAATGATCCGAAGAATCAATGTCGCAATGTAGCCCAAACACACATCATCATCATTCCATGGTGTGAAGGGGCCTGGCGCTCACACAGGAAGAATGCGCCAGTCCCCAATCATACACAGACAAAGAAGAGGGGGGTTAGACGAAGAAGAGGGGAAGATGGGAATGCCGTCAACACCAAATCTTCGGCACATGCCCCAAATAATCCCTCGTCAAATGTCTGAATCCCAATGTCGAGTCTGGATCCAATGTCGTCAAGTCCCAAAGTCACCAATCTCTCTCTCTCTCTCTCTCTCTCTCTCTCTCTCGTAGTCTGCAGGTAATGAGAAGTTAGGTAGCGAGAGGGGGAGGAGGAGATGGTGGACTTAGAAGAGGAAGAAGAAGAACTCTCTCTCTCTCAGTCTGGAACTAACCTGTGAAGGTGGCACCTTGTTGCAGGTACATCGAAGACGAAGCTAGAGCTATGGCACCACAGGTAGGTCTCCCTGGCCTCCGCCAACCATCTCTCTCTCTCTCTCCACTGCTACTCTAGCTCCTAATAGCGCCCAGCGCTGAAGACTACTGCTAACGCTACTACCACTACTGCTGCGCTCCTCCAGACTGCTGCTGCCGAATACTGAAGACTGCCTCCTGCCTCCTGCACGTGAAGTGCCTGGGAAGTTCCTAGGAAATACCTCGTGACTGTTTGCAGCCTGTAGGGCGGGCCAGTCTTATATAGTGCTGGCCCGTCCAGGAGGCTGCTCTTGCCAATGCCAAAACGTGCCAGACCCTGGCGTTGAAGTTCAAACAAGGGATGTCTTGAAAACAGGGTAAAAATGGCCTGTGCTAAAACCCTGGTCTGGTGCCTAAGTTTCAGGGCAGGTCGATCTTATGAGGGCCCAAAAATGGCCCTCCGTTTCAGGCTGAAAAGACTCAGGGCCTGGAAGGCCCTGTTTTAGGCTGAAACGACATAGGGCCTGAAGGCCCTCGTTTTCAGGCTTTCAGGCTGAAACGACACAGGGCCTGTAAGCCCTTGTTTTCAAGCTTTTAGGCTGAAAACGACACAGGGCCTGTAGGCCCTTGTTTTCAGGCTTTTAGGCTGAGAACGCTGGTCGGGCCCTGCAGGCCCGTGTGGCTGCGCAGTATGCCACGCCCCCCGCTCCTTGAAAGACCGAGCTTACCTGCGAGGGCGAAGCTGTCTGTCTGGGGGAGGGACCACAGTCCGGGTGGGAGGGGCAGGTCGTGAAGTTCCCTTAGCTAACCTTTGTCACTTGTAGTGAGCATAGATCAGCGGTGCGGATGCTTTCAAATCTGCTCTTGAAATCCATCGAGTGTCGTTGGGATCGCATGCTTTGAATGTAACCTTGTACTATCGAGGCTTGCTGTCGTACTTGCGATCCGTGATGACGCGATCAACTTCCTGACGACCATCCATAGATGGAGGATCTTGCGATCGTCGACCCAGGAAGTCGTCGCTCTTAGCTGGTGTATATGTCGCCAACTTTGAGGCGTGAAAGACTGGATGGACCGTCAGATGCAGGGGGATGTTGATCACAAATGAGGGGGCATCAGGCTCGTCGCCTGCGACTGATGTTACGGGCCATGGTCCAAACCACTTGGGAAGCAATTTGCATGAAACATCCTGTTCCAGTGCAAACTCTTCCGCGGAGACCCAAACCAGATCACAGGCGCGAATGGGACATGGCACGCGATACCTGTTGGCTTGCTGCTGCATGTGAACTTGAGCCTTTTGCATGTTCGCGCGGGCTTGAGCCAACAATTCCCTGCACTTCCCAACGGAAGCGGGGGAGCAAGCAGCGTCTATGTCGGCTGTTCGTGGGAGGAGAAAATCAGCAACGACGTAGTCAAACTGGGGCTGTGCCACAGAGAGGTAGTACATAACTAACAACATACCCATGGGGAGTTCATCGCTCACTAGGAACGAGACGCGATGTCTCAGTTCCCCCCCCGCGTACGGGAAACAACACTCAACATCTTGGAGGTAGTCATTGACTACCATGCGCTGTTTGTTGGCACAGGTCAACTCAACAAGTGGACTCAGGCGCTGCACTTGCCCTTGTAAGCGCAGCCTCTCAATGCACGCGCGACTAATGAAGTTCGGTGTCGAGCAAGTGTCATAATAGGCCCCGGCCGCGTGACTACCTCGCTGACGAACATCTCACCCTTAGGAGCTTTGACTAGTGCCGTTCAAGAAGCTAGTGGGTCTGACCTAGCCCACTCCTCCTCTAGCTCCTCTAAGGACTCGAACACATTCATCGAACAGAGGGTCGATGGGTCTGAATGTGTTTGCGGGACGACAGTGGAGTCAGTAGCTTGGGCCATCTCTCGAGATGGTAAGGGTGTGTCCACCACCTCGACCCTAGCAGGAACAACTACTATTCCTACTGGCCCGACGTGTTTCCCGGAGCAGTGCCTGAAGTGCTGGCAACATTGCTACCCACGAAAGCGGAGGATTCTACCGCCTGCCCCATCGTAGGCGGGATCTTCTCGGTCACCTTCTTATTTCGGCACTTAAATTGGTTACGGCCATATTGGCCACAACGGATACAAGCCTGCCGTGTGTACCGATCTCTCCACACGTCCTCAATGAGACCCGCTCTCTCCCATAGAGGAGCATTGGGGTCAACTTGACTCCTTGACCGGGAACCTCCACGACGTCTACCGGTCGCCTTACCTTTTTGTGCTACGGCAGCGACTACTCCACCCCCTGAAGCTTCTACACTGCCAGCCTCTGAACCTACTCCCTCCTGGAAGTTGTCATCTAATTCGATGGTTGAACCATCGTTATCGACAAACATAATGCGACCCTTCGCCTTCCAGTTGGGAGGCAGTGTCTTCTTCCTACCATCCGTCGTGGGGTTATGTCCATGCCCTATCTTAGCCTCAAGGTCTAGGGCCTTCTTGCTGAACGAGGGAAAGTTGTGCATATTGATGTTGGCCTCACCTGCCAACTGATTCCTAAGAGGCATGGGAAAACATCTCAGGTAGGAGGTGAGTAATACCTAGGGGTCATAGCAACCCCCAGGGACACAGATCAGACGCTCTACAACGTCAGTGGCCTCCATTACTGACTTGGACTGCCTCGTGTGCAGTGTCAGGATCGCGTCAGTGGCCTTTTGGGTCTCCTGAGGATCATGCCACCTATCTTCCACCAACTTGAGAAAGTCATCCAATTTCTGGGTGACCGCCCAAGCGCAAAAGTCATGACCATACCCCTGGAGTTGTACTAAACCACTCAACCATCGTGTTGCACTCCCCTCTAAATAGGAGGCAGCCACAAGCACTTCCTCGTGCGGCAAGGTAAGTTTGCACTTGACATAGACTGGCACTGCCCTCAACCAAGTGTCGAGGTCTTCGCCCCTCTTATCCCCTGTGAAGGGCTTAGAAGCGGCGATGGCCGTCTTTGGTACCCACTAACTTTGTCCCGGTCCTTGCATCACTCCGGGCTGTGGACCCTGTGGTGCAGGCTGCTGCACTAACTGTTGGGGTTGTGTGCCCTGCGGTTGTGCAGGCTGCGAGACAGCAGGTTGCACGCTTACAGCAATCTGCGACGGAGGTTGGGTGAACACTGTTTGTACAGGAACCTGCAAACTAGGACCTGTTGAGAACCCTCCTGGTAATGGCATGCCCAGGGAAACGGTCTGGACCGATGTTGGGGCTGTATATGGGGATACCCCAGTCACCGGTGGAACAAAAGGAGGAGGATGTACAACGGGCCAGGCACGGGGCCCGGACGGTGATGGTGACGCCTGCATTCGCCCGACTAACACAACCAGACTCTGTTGGATGTCCTGTAAGATCTCCATTTGGTGATCTTGCATTTCTACTACGCTCAACAAGACCGATGGTATGGTGCTCACGTCATCCTCCATCTCTGTAGTGTCCATCTCCTCTAACTCACTAACGTCCACCCGCCTCCGCTGCATCCTGGCTCTTCTCCTAATCATTCTCTCTTTCTCAGCCTTAATCTCTCCCAACGCCTGCTGTAGTTGTGCCTCACGATCAGCAGCTCGCTGTATGGCGACCTCCTCGGGAGTCATCACTAAGGGCTGGCTCGCCATTATGCCAGTTGACTGACTCTGGGTCTGCGCGACCGTTGACCCTACAACTCCTGAACTGCTAGCCTGGGAACTCTGCTGCGCAGAAGTGGCCATGGCCACCGAAGTTGCGGCTTCGCTTACTAACGCCCTACTAGCCTCTGATGCTCTAGCTCTCCTCTGCTGCTGCAGCCTCTCCCTACGCTGGCGGAACAGGTATCTGTCGCCCTCTAGTCCTAAAGCCAAATGGGCAATCGGGCGCCTAGCCGATCGCAGGATCCGGTCGTCCTCTCTAGTGTCCTCCCTGTCGCTCATAAGCTACAACACTGTACACAATCTGCACTAGTGCACTCCAGATGCCTACCGCAGTGTAATGCACAGACCAACTAAATAATTACTTGGTGGCTGTGTCAGAGACTAAATATCCGAGTCCAGCAGGTAAGTCGAGATTCCTACAAATGATACTATTCCACTTTGACTAGTTCGCAAACAGAGAGCACAATGAACAGAGGACAATTCTAAGCCATGTTGTCTGTCAGATTTCAATGGCAGTACATCTAACTAATCAAAATAAAAATAACATCATTTGTTGGGTCTGTTTGCTGCATGGGATCTTACTCAAACTTATCACCTGGAATCTACCCCTTCCCCAATTCCCCTTGATTGTCACTTGACCTCAGCATCCCTGAGCAATCCGGTTTGGTGTGCATGACTAAAGGGGTGCACACGACCCACCCATGTGCCCCGATTAGCTGCTGAGCTGGACAGTCCTGCACCGTGTTTATCCTCGCATGCAGCGAGCCTTACACCAATTGGCTGATCCAGAGGCAATTTAACGACCGCCCCCAAGTGTCATCAGGAATTATTTTACGTCGCAGCAGGACGACGATCACAGCCAACGGTTTCCCCAACCGGTGTTTATTTATAGACGCTCGGTACTCGTCTCTCCCATAGGGCTGGCGGGCCCTTCAGTACCCCTTCTATGAGCGCAGCAAGCAGACAAGGACAAAGCAGCAAAGCATGCGTGCTCTACTCCCGATGGGTTGGCATGGTGCCCCTGACCCAGTGCTCCGTCCAGGGCCCTTCAGAAAGCACCGCCCTCTCCTTCCAGGTGCTCCACGTGAACAATGTCGACTTTCAAGGTTGAGCGCACACGACACCTCAGATGAGAGGACCCTCAAGAAGGAACTCACAACCTCACGGTAAGAAGTGATGAAGAGGGTAGATAAGGTTAAGAGCAACGTACCTCAATATAGCTGCCCCCAACCACAGATATTCTCACTAGATGACCTGATGGCGATTGCGATGACCAGTCACTGCATCGGCACAACCAGCATTATCTCGCCGTTCCACCTCAGCATCAATCAACCACCAGATAGTTCTCATCACACTGCGAACACCCAATGTACACACCGTAGCCTTCCTGGCGATTCCCCTC